AGGCTTCTGATTCAGAATATGAACTCAATTAGTATTTTATGGGACAAAATACATACCCTGCATTTCCCCTACTTTTTATGAAAGTTAGTGAATTTTGTTAATTCAAACCAAAAAGGCATGATAGATGGAATGATTTATATGATATCTAACCATAATTGCTACTACTCTGCCTATGCAGAAGTCTTTGTCACGAAAGCTATTAATCCTCTTGATTAATGCATAGAAATCCAAATTTTTATATTGATCTGGGTGAGATCCACTTTTATTTACAATGAAAAGAGGAGAATTGGTATATTGATACATTCTGGTATAGCAACGTTTATTTGCTTGTTACATTTATTTGCTGTCTCTCTGGCTGTGAAGCTACTCTAGGTGGCTTACAACAATAAAAACGAAGAAATGAAAAGTAGTGTAAACATAACAGTAGCAACGTAATGGAACAATGGAATAAACAGTGAAAAAGAAAACAAAGAGAATACTGTGATATGAGAAAAAAAGATGAGAAAGCAGGGAGCAAGGTGGGGTTTGCTATCAAACTATGAAAGCTGCTAGTAGCCACCTCCAATATCGTACTCCCCATTGGGTCCCCAGGCCAACTGGCAGAGCCAGGTCTTCAGGCTCTTACAATGCCAAGGTTAATATCAATTGATATCCCAGGGTTGCTTGGAGCAATCAGAGTACTTTCACAGATCTAGAGTTAATAATAATAGCTGTCAGGATTTCGCCCAGTCTGCTGGGGAGAAGATACATCTTTTTCCTCAATCTGCAGCTTTTCTCTCCAGAAATTTTTTGCCTTCAGTTGGATAACTACATTTTCTTTTACTTGCAATTTACTTTGATGCCGACTCTTTATCTTGCTGAAGATGTACATTTAATATGTGTTTTCCTTTCAGTTCCCCTTATGTGATGGGTCTCATACAAAACATAATGATGAAACAGGAGACAACGTGGGACCTCTAATCATCAAGAGGAAAGATGTGTGAACAGCAAATAGTTGAGACACCATCAAAACGATATTGTCGCCGTGTTTTCTGGTCACCGGTATTTGGTGTGAAAGAAGATCTTAATTTCACCGAAGATGTTTAGATGTGGTATATACAATGCACTGCAGCACATGTAGTTCATGTTGCTTGCTTAAAACACTACAGCGTATATGTTAGAAACAATACCTGTGACTTGCTGATTTTTTTGTCTTGTAAAATGCACATTCTCATTAAGTGTAAAAAATAAAAAACCCTTTAGAAGGTACTTGAAACAATGGAGATACATTAAATTATTTTCAAATACACACTGTTTTCCTAAACTGTCCTTGTCAAGAGCCATGAGATTAAACCTATATTTTTGTCAATCTCTAACTAATATATAGTTTTCTGACTTTTTTTTTTTAAAAAAAAGATCTGCAGTATGCAAGGCATCAAAACCACGATGAAGCTATGATTACTAAATTGTATACATTTTAAGTATCAGAAACATTGCAGATGGAAATTATATTGCACAATGTTGGTAGGCACATATCTTTCTGCCTTACATATCTCTTCTTTTCTTACATATCTATAGTAGTGTTTTGCTGGAGGTAAGTGGTTGGATCTGTGCCACGGTCATGAATTATTTTAGAGAAGGCAGATGACTGCAGAAGCCCAAGAACATGTCAGAAAAGAGGAAAATGCTAGAATGCACCTGTTAATTGACACACATGCTTTAGGAATGTAAAAGAAAAAGCAGGATGGGGGTTGTATTTCAGATGCTGCAGGACATGCTACTAGAGAGGACATCACCCTGTTTATACGGAATGAAATAGAAAACAGCCCAATCTGTCAGGTTCAGAATTCCAGCCCTTGGGATATGGAAGAAGACCAGGTGGCTTGTGCAAATATGGAAAGATAGGGAGGATCCCCTGGATTGAATATGCAGAGCTTCAGATGCTGGATAGTAGAAGTTTGTGAATTAAAACCTTTATACAGAGGTGTCAAACTTGCATCGTCACATGACCTATTGGGACTTTTTCCCACTTGCTAAACCAGGTGGGCATGGGGCCAGCACATTACGTATCCTGCAAGTCTGACACCCCTGCTTTAGTAGAAAGACTGCAAGGAAAAAAATTAAGGGACAGTCCATTGCCATTAACTGATAGGAGTGGAAGAAGAAAGCATACTTTATATACTTACCGATAAGCTAAGAATTTTAGGTGCCAATTTATATTTGGATGGGCCTATATGCAAGTATATATAGTAATTACAAGCAGATATTGAGGGAAAGAGGAAACCGGAATATTAGGTAGGTTACAACTTGATTTGTTTGTATTCTATTCTGGATATAGAGAAACATTTGGCTTAGCAAATGTTTTCACTTGTGTGAATTACTAGATTATACTTCATTAGGGGTTAGTACCCAGAATAAAACCCCTCATTTAACTACCGGCTCTGGGTGTATCTATATTAGCTCCTATCCTGATCCACCCTCACAATATTGACTCCTTGAGCAATAAACCAAGTCCTGCTACCTCAGCTGGCTAGTAGGAACCCGAATGCCTGGATTTTTGTCCTTAATGGTAGTAATAAACCAATTCTGTATTGTTTACTAGCCAGTGTATTGTGCTATTTATGAAATAAGGCAGTTCTGTCCAGTTTTTTGGGAGAATACAGGTCCTTTGGGACAAGAAATAGCTGGAGTCCTAGATGAAGACCTCAGGCAGAGTGAGTTATTTAGTGGCTGGAATTGCAATAGGGTAGTTTTTTTTAGTTAGAGTGGCTTTTTTTGTATTTTATGTTTTTAAGCAGTCTGTGTATCCATTTAGTATATTTAATAAAGTTGAATTTTGTTTAAATCCTGGGATTTACTAGATGCCCTCTATTACCCACCTCAGCCTGGCTGAGCTACTTATTCCCACTTTTTTTGTATAGTTTATCTTTCTATATTTAGCCAGACCTGAGATACCCCAGGTGGTGTGGAAAGGGAAAAGGGTTGTGGTGAAGGTAGTGGGGGGTAGTAATTTTCTAGTCCTGTTCACCCACAGGTGCTGAAATACTTAAGGAGGGGCAGATTCAACCCGTGTTGCCTTTTCCCTCGTTACAAGGGATTGCATGCCAAAACATAAGCTTTTAAAATTGATATTCCATATGCAGTTTCTGATACCAGCTGTACCTACTGTTCTGAATTGCAAGTGATGTCGCTCTGTGGCACTTAGCTAAATTACAGTACAAACTGAGTATAGCAGGTAATGTAATTGCACTGTTTTTTTTGCACTAGAAAGAATAGAAAATCTTAAGCTACTTGCATGATTCTAAAATATTACAATCCCTTGCAGATGATGAGGATTTTTATTAGTTCACTCGGTTCAGGTAATTTGTTGCTTGTATAGTTCATCCTGTTATGATAGTATGCATCATCTGATGGCTTGGGATATACACTATTGAGCCACAAATGACTAATTTGGTTCTGGTTTAATATGCTGTTCAAAAACTATGGAGTGTGTGATTCATGCACATACGTGCAGATTGTAGCATTTCAGAGCCTGGAACATACTGTTTTGATCTTGAAATACACTTCCAATTTCAGAAAGTGTTAATGATGCTTGTTTGGAAGGGTTCAGAGCTCAGAAAATTTCTGGTAAAATCAGAACAGTGACAGAATAGTTTCTGTAGGATCAGAATGTTATTTTTCAAACTCTTGAATATTTTGAAAGGACAAAATCCAAATACTTTGGATTTAATTTGGAAATGGATCTGAATCTACTTCCAGCCTCAACATTATACCATTAACCAAGATTGACCTCTCCAACATTTCTTGGGGGTCTCTACATTCTGAAGTCCTGCATTTGTAAGAATGTTCTGCTGCCTGCGTTTGCTGTGCATGGCAAGACTTTATTTGACAATGTGGCCGTTTAATTATTTTGGCACCAAGACAAAATGGGTTGGTTTGTGATTTATTTTTTTAAACCCTAACCTCTGAAGTAAAAGACAAAAAACCTGTGGCGTATGTTTTTACGCAGTCCATGGATTTATATTAAAATGCATGAAACAAGGAAAAGGGTTGGGAAAAATGATGGAAAGCAATTGCGTAACTGAAAGATTTCTTAGTTAAAAACTCCATAATTGTCTACTCTATTACATCTCACATTAAGCTGAAAGTTTGATTATTAAGAGCACATGTTCCATTTTATTATATTGCCCCTTTTGCTTGCTGTTCTTTAACTATGCAGCTTTCTGCATTCTCTGAAACTCTGACAAGTCTCAATTTCTGCGTACCCCAAATGGTAATTACAATTTTGGTTAAAGAACAGACTGATGGGGGGTTGATGTAATAGGCCATTATGTACCATACTTACAATATTTTTAAGGTTAGCTTGCCAAAGAAAAACTACAGTATTGTACACCAAATGACTATATCTGCACATGATGGAACAATCTAAAACATTTTAGTCAATCATGCAGCTAATTTATAATTCAATATGTTGTGCAAACCCAACCAACTGGAACTACTGAATAAATTGTGGTCATAATTATGAAGCAAGCTTTGGCAAAACACATTGTGCTTTTACCAAGGAAACTATGTAGAAGTATCCATTCAGTCACTAGAAATCCCAATTCCCTCTTTATTTTTTTAACCTCAGGAAATAATGTAACTCAGCCCAACTGAGTTTAATGACCCAAGACTATATACATGTTTACAGTTGTATGAACACAGCGTGGTTTAAAGGTGCTTTTAAAACCTTAAAAGCCAACTCTGAACTTTTAAGTCCCCACAGTGAATCGAAGGATGGTTTAGCATGAAATATTTAGCCCGGTTGCAGTGCGGAAACCACTTTCGGAAATAGCAAGGCGGAAACAGCGTTTAAAACACATCTCTGCCACTGACTAAGGCACCGCCGCCGTACGCTTCGGGTGCCTTCAACAGGAAACACATTCAGGGCAACTCTGAGCCCAAAGGTGGCTTCAATTGATACCAGCGCGCAGGCGCAAAGCGCGACGCGCACGCTCAGTTAGTGCCTCGGTAGGTAGTCTTCGCCTCACCGAGCGGAGGAGCGCTTAGCTCCCCGAGGGAGAGAGGCGAAGGCGGACGCGCCATGGAGCTGCGGGCCTGGCCGGGTCCACAAACGGACAGCCGGGACGGCGGCGGGCCTTGAGGGTAAAGCGGGAGGCGTAGCCATCGCGGCTCTTTAAAGGACATGGCCACCGAGCCGCCTCGGCGTGTGGAGAACCGGGAGGCCGAGCGGTTAGAAGGACTTCCCGGCTCGGCGCCGGCGGGGGCAACGGCAGCAGCGAACGGGAAAGAGGTTGAAGCGACGATGGGGCTCCTCGACGGCTGCGTGCCGCTTTCTCACCAAGTGGCGGGGCACATGTTTGGCAAGGATAAGGGCGGTGAGTGGCGGCCGAAGGGAGGCGGAGGAGGAGGAGGAGAGGCGAAAGTTTGACCCGCGAGGCGGTGAGCCGGTCGGCAGGCGAGATAGCAGTCTGGGGGTCTCGGGATCCCCTTCGCCGGCGGTGGAATTTCCACCGGCCTGCTGCCGGGAGATCATTTTGAAATGGGGCCGGTAGGCAAGTACGGTAATTCTGGGTTTTCCGACCGGCCGCCAGCTCCTCTTTCTCCCGGGTTTCTATCCTCTCTCTCCTCCTTCACTGTTTTTGCCTATGATGCGGGTTGCAAGGTTTCATCATGGGGTTGGGGGGCGGGGAAGGACCGGGTGGATGGGGGACATAGCTGCCCCGGGGGCTGGGTGGGACCCAACCAACCAACCGGTCTTTTATGATACCTTTACGTCGCTCTTTTGTGGCCCCTAAACGGCTGAGGGCAGCCTGCATGGTGGACTTTCTTTTGTGTCCTGGATAATCTAGTCGGAGCTGTCGGGGATATGACAGGCGAAAAAAGCGCGGAAGTCAACACAGGAGTGATTTTCGTGGTTTTTCTGGTGTGGTCTTGCGGCTTGTCCCAAAAGTGCTTTTTTTTTTTTTTTTTTCAAGAGGACTTTATTGTTTTTCCTCTTTTGAAGATGTTTCACTTCTCATCCAAGAAGCTTCCTCGGCTCTGACTGGATGGTGGGGGAATGGAAGGATTTATATTCTTTTCAAACAGCTGATCATTTGCATCCTTTTAGAAATGCATTGAGGCCACTCTGAAGTTTATCTGTGTCCTCAGAGCCATCTGAGTAGTGCTAATGGTTCCTGTAGTCTGCAAATCTTTCTGGAAATCCATTAGCACTACTCTGGTGACTGAGGACACAGAAAAACCTCCCAAGTGCTTCAACAACCTTCTTAAAAGGATGCAAATGATCAGCTGTCTGCAAGGCATATAAATCCTCCCACCATCCAGTCAGAGCTGAAGAAACTTCTTAGTTGAGAAGCAAAACGTCTTCAAAGAAAATCCAGAAAGTCCAGTTGCTTCTTGAAAACACCCTCATAATAAGCTTCTATGATACATTTTATTTTAGCTCACTTTGTCAGATGCATAGTGTGGCTAAATGGATGTAGGGTTTAAGTTGGGAGGAGGGTGAAAAGGAAAAAGACAGGTTGGTTGTGTAGATACCAGCTGATTACAAATGCATTTAGTCCTCAATTTACAACCAGAATTGAGCCCAGCATTTCTTTTACTAAGCGAGACAGTTGTGTGAGTTTTGCCCTATGTTACCACGTGACTTGCTATAGTTAAGTGGATCACTGCAGTGGTTAAGTAAGTAACATTTAAGTGAATCTGGCTTCCCTGTTGACTTTGCTTGTCAGAAGGTAGCAAAAGGTGATCAAATGGCCCTTGGGATACTGCAGCCATCATAAATACGAACCAAGTGCCAAGCATCTGAATTTTGATCATGTGGCCATAGGGATGCTGCAATGGTTGTAAGTGAAAAATGGTCATAAGCCACTGTTGTAACTTTGAACAGTCACTAAACAAGCTGTTATAAATTGAGGACTACCTGTATTTGTATTCTGTATTATTAAAATCCACTGTGGGTTCAACAAATTCCACTCCATCAACCTCAACAGGTATATATAGAACAGGTAGAAGTACTTGTACTTTGTATTTGATGAATGTCTCATAATTATGAACCAGGTGCCGAGCATTGATTTCAACTTGTTCCATTCAATGAACTTCAGACTTCACCTATATACAGAGTACATCATTTCCTTGATATCATCATTAGTGCTTGTAATCTGACTCATATGTGACCTGCATCTACATAACTAGACTGTCTTCTTTCTTTCTCCAATCCCAGTTTAAATCCTTCAGTTTAGCTACTCTGTGCACTAATGAAATGAGCTAAAGCTCACAACGTGTTTTCCTTTTAATAAGCTTTATTAATTAGAAAGGGTATTCACTTTTTCTCATTTTTTTAGCATAGGCTAAGGTGACTGTTTTTCTATTCTCAGACCTACTTTACTGACAGTTTTTGCACGAATCCATTACTAACCCCACTAAATTTATCATTTACTGTAATTGTTTTAGCAAAATTTACAAGACAAGTAATTGAAAATGTAAAGATCTGAAATTCACGTAATGGCTGGCTTTGCTTCTGGCTTTTTGTCATCAGTTTGTCATGTTATTTATAATATAACATGATAGTTTATGGTAGATATATTTTCATTTTTAATATTTATTAATGGATATAATAGACTGCTATATTTTCTTTCCCAAGAAACAGCTTAATTCCTTATATGATTTCCATACTGAGTTTGCATCTTCTATGCTTGATCTAAATACCGTATTTCCCCATGTATAAGCACCCCCTTTGTATAAGCCACCCCCCCAATTTTTGGACTGTGAAGTTTTGAAAAAAATATTTTATTAGAGAAACAAGTTATGAAGAAAGAAAATTTACAAAGAAACAAAATTCGACGTCTAGATTTACAACTTCGGTCATGACGCCGAAAGCGGTGCAGGCGACGCTAGCAATCTACGCATCGGAACGAGAGTAGGAACGAAGCATTCAGGCCGATGCCTAGCGTATGCATTTCTATCGCGTACTCGCACTCGTAATCGTATCATCACTTACAATTTTTACAAAAAAGTATAGCATACTGCTGGAAAACCAGTTTATTCCTACTTTATTATTTTATGCATTTTTCACGTATAAAAAGTGTACCTGCTTTGTATATGCCACCCCCCTACTTTTTGGGCTTGAAAATTTTGGAAAAAAAGGGGTGGCTTATACATGGGGAAATACGGTAGCAGGAAATTTACTTATTTCTCTGTCTCCCACGATGATATTTTTAAAATAGCTTCAAAAAGCTACTAGTTCTTCAGGAGAAATTATCAAATTGGTTATATTGCTGGGAAATACATCTCTTGTAGGTTTCTATAAGAAGCAGAAAAATATAGGATAAGTAAAGTGTTTTATTAAAAAAAGGATCTGTATTCATGTGTTAACTGAACCATGTTGGTTTGTTTTTAACTGGGTGCTTTCTGTCTTACATAAATTTGACATAGGTGGGAGTGACCAAGAGGAAGAATGAAAACAGGGAGTGGGAAGAAGAAAATAATGAGCTGTTAAAGAGACAGTCTTAGTTTTTCACAGTCAGTGAACTTCAAAAGAGTTTATTGGAAATGTTCTCAGAAAACAACAAATGAAAGAATGCTTCCATGCCCATTTGGAAGGATTTTTAAAGCTGCAATTTTTACTTTGTCCATTTTTCCTAGCCTGCTTTTTATAGACTTACAGTATATTAGATGGAACACTATAAAGCAACAATTTAGAAAGAGCTTTAATTATCTAATAAATTGCTACCGTTTGAAATAAAAAACTTTTTATTAGCTGCAGTCTCCAGAAGAAATGTTGCTTGCTACTGTTAAGGTTAATCCTCATAGATTGGACTCAATATTTTGTCTAACAGAATATGTGTTTAAATTATCTGCTTGTAGGAAATGTGACACCACTTTTGGTTTAAGAATAAAATTTCCTTCATGTTGACCTCAATTGCTAGGATTTTTATGGTAGAAACCATATAAAAGGGGTCTACCATTGCTTTTTTATGATATGTATTTTTTTCTAGTTTAACCTACAGCTCTGTTGTTTTCTGTTGATCTCTCTCTCACACACATGTTAACCTTCTTGGCTTTTTGAAATCAGCCAAGATTGTGTGGCTTTAGGTACTATAAACCATGTGTAATAAGTTTACTTTGGGGGTACTATGAAACCCAATGTTTATAGTTTTGATTGTAGAATTAAACTATATTAGCAGCTTAGTTTTTTAAAAACTTCAAAAATAATGGTACTTGGGGATTATGATGATAGGATTGAAAATGCACAGAGAATAGATTCTTAATTCTCAGATGCCAAAATGATTGGTTGAAAACATTTCTTGGTTAGAGATGGAGCTGATGCTCTGCGTGGTTTTCTCTGCCCCATCTCCTCAAGAACTGGCAAAGGCAGAATTATCCTAGTTCTATGATAATGTTAAATTGTTGTGTATAAATCTTTTAAAATAAAGTTATGAGAAAGAATAAAGGTTAATATTTACATGTACCGCAACAATTATAAATTGAAATAATACCACAGAACACTACTGCTTTGAGATTATTGTTACATAGTTCAGTTACACTTGTATAATTTAATTTTTATTATGCTTTCTTTAGTTGTAGAGTTCAAAGAGTATTTTTAATAATAATACATATAGTAAAATAGGAGCCTTGGTTATTTTTTAACTATGGGTGTAAAAGTTGCAGATCCAATTTCAGTTAATGATTATGGTGTTTGGATTAGTGGTAGGAAAACCCGGATTTCAGTGTTGCTTTAGTGTGGAAACCAAATGGGAGGCTTTGAGACACTCAGTCTCTCTTAGTCCTAGGAAGAAGGCAGTGTAAATTGCTTTTGAAAACACTGCCAAAAAATTGCATAGACGTTTCCATATAGTCACCAGGAAGCAAGACCGACTTGAAAGCACACACATGATGCAAGATCATTGTTATTTTTTTAAAAGAAGAATATGGTTTCAGTTAGGTCTATCCATCTGCATATTATACGCAATTGTGGTAGGATCTGGCACTGAGTTGTGTAGTGAAACTGCTGAGTAACCTTGAATCACTTGTGGGGAGGAAGTGGCTGAAGGGAGATTCTCCTTAAAACTTTTTTCAATATTCATCAAGTAGCTACTTACGTAGTCTGTGCTTAAGATTCCTGGGTATAGGTGAGCAAGTAATAAAAATACCACTGATTAGTTCATTGTATTGTTTCTGGTTCCTTGTGACTGGCAAATTGTTTGCAAAAAGTAGGATTTCTAATGCCTACTGTTCACAACATTTGGGGTAGCAGAGTTCTAATCTATGAAATTTTATATGTCATAAAGGCTGGGAGTTAAAATTAGGATTACTATTTGGTTACTAAAATAAATCATGGTAATTTATTTTTGCTGTAGCCTGCTAATATGCTGTCTGTTTGACAAAACCTTGATAGTACAAGAGACAGACAAGAAAGGAAAGTGGCAGTGGGCTTGAAAATTACATTACAGAAGTAAGATTTATGGAAATGAAATATGTTTCTTGCTTGAAGTATGCTGATTAAATGGCCCTCACCTTGGATACAGTGGCCTACATCAATTCTACCAGTGTTTCAAGATTCTAATTCTGAGGCTGCCACTTAGGAAATTTCTCAGTGTGAGGCAGGAGACCAAGAGTTCCAACAGAGAAACTATGATAAAGTAGTATAGTCTACAGTAGTATTATAGATTGCTGAGAATCAAAGTGGCTCTAACTAATGGACCCATTGAGCTAGGCATAGATCCAGCTAATACAATAGGCTTTAAATATATTTTTAGATAAAGCATGCTACAGTTCAACATCACAGAATATTACAATTGACACATCTCTTGTTCACTGCTAAATTTCAATTGATGTCCAAAAATGTATGGATAGCCGTGATTTCTCATTGATTATCCAACAAATATAATTAATATTGTCTGAAATTCTAAATAAAAATACTAAGTGTTCAGTATGAGACAATGGTATGTCATAGTACCAGTGGTGGGATTCAGCCAGTTCACACCAGTTTGGGAAAACCAGTTAACTTTCTGAGCAGTTTGGTGAACTGGTTGTTGGAAGAAATCATTAGGGCAGAGAACCGGTTGTTAAATTATTTGAATCCCACCACTGCATAGTTCTATAATTCCTTATAGTTCCATAGTTCCTTATACAAAGTAAGGGGACGTTCAAGCTAATCTTAACTAATTTCTGAGCTTCTCGGATCACAAAATCACAATAATAATGGAATGTATAAAAGGCTTATAATTAGTAACTTAAGAATGTAGCTTATACTGTTTGATTTTGAGAAGTCATGAGCCATGTTACCCTAATTTAAATCATGAAATGCACAGAGACAAAGAACAAACTCAGTACTTACTTATTTAAACTTTACCTCTATTATTGAGCTCTCCACTGCAACTTTTGAATGTTTTTTTAAGGCAGCCCCATATAGAGTGTATTACATTAGTCCGAATGGTGTGTGTGTGTGTGTATGACCAAGTCTCTGTGAAATCACTGTGAATAAGGCCTTCTGATCCATAAAATGAGTACAGTTGGTACACAAGGACAATGTGTGCAGAGTCCCCTAGCCATGATTGTCATCAGTTCTTTGAACAAGAGTTCAAAGAGTTCTTTGAACAAGAGTTGTAAGTCCAGGAAAAAATTCCAAATCATTTACCAACTTGGGAAGCAGAGCCTCACCTAGAATGAAAGATGACGTATCTCTGAAATAGGGAGTGCTCAAAAAACCCACGGCTGCTCAGTCTTGCCTGGGTTGAGTTAAAGCTCTCCCTTACTCAAACCCAGAGCTTCCAGCGCTATCCTTTTTTTGGAGAAAGAATCTCAGCGACATCACTTGGTCAGTCTAGGACAGAGTTGCACAGCTGGGTATCATCAGCATATTGATGATACTTTACACTCATGTTGATGAATACCTTCACTCAGCTGTATGTAGAAGGGGAAAGGGGCCATGGACTCCATCTCCCTCCCTCCCTCCCTCCGTCCGTCCGTCCGTCCTTCAAGACTGACGAATTGGCCTTGAAAATTGGGGGCGAAAAAACCCCACTGAAGTATTGTACCTTCCATTCCCAATTCCCCCCCCCCCCCCCAAAAAAAAAAAAAATCCAGGTTACCACACTTGAAAGTCCTGAGAAGTTAAGGAGGGCCAGGATGATTCTACTACATCCCTCTCCCTACTTATCAAAGATCATCCACAAGTGTAATCAGTGCTGTTTCACTGCTGTACCAGGTCTGGATTCAGCCTTGAGTTGATCCAGATAATTAATTTTGTCCTGGGCCTCTGGAACTTAAGCCAACCCTCTTCTCAACAACTTTCCCAAGAAGGTTGACTATAACCAATAATTTAGGTTGTAAAATTGCCATATTTTTGAGGTACTTACCATATGGATTACAGTTAATTCTGCAAGTTATATTAAGTTTCAGCAGTAACTTTGATCTGCAGTTTGTAACTAGATCTGGTGTGTGTCTTTAATTAAAGTTGAAAACAATGAGAAATAGTGCATTATTTGTTTTTATGTAGCAGAATTGCATCTTGACAATATTATCGTTCACTAATTCTCAGTAAAGTGAAACTCCAGAACTAAGGCAGTTTGTTAAAGACAAGAAAGAAATTAATTTAAAAACATGTTTTACTCAGTATGTGACAGGTTTATTTTGGCCATGAAGTGACTACTAGACTCAGAATCTTAAATGCTTCTGTCATAAATAACTGTAATGTTGAGTTTTCTCTCTCTCTCCTTGCCTTTTTCTTCTGAGTATTTTGTGTAGTCTCAGAAAACATTCACTATGCTGGAAAAAACCAATTCCTATTAAAATTCACAAGTCTGCCTTCCCTGTTTTATTTGTATCAAAGAAATAATTAGAAATTATTCTAGAGCCGATTTCTTGGGATTTTATGTTAAAAATGCTCTTCTGTGTTTGAATTTCTGTTCATTATGACATAAAACTGAAATTGTATCATAGTTTGAAAATGAGCATATCGGGCTTTTGTTTTGTTTGTCTCAGGCATATTGCAGCATCCAGATGGCACTGTCCTCAAACAATTGCAGCCACCTCCTCGAGGACCCAGAGAGCTAGACTTCTACAATAAGGTAAAGTAATTCATTTCCTAAAACAACTGGAAGCAATTGCACTTTTTTGTACAATTGAACAACCCATTTTGTGTACTATCTGTGTAAACATGTCTTGCATTTTATTTTTTTGTGCTGCTTTCCATTTTTATAAATTGTACAGTGGTTCCGAAAGCTTTAAATTTTTGGCCTTTTAACTGTTGTATGTCTCCATTCCTAATGTTCTTAATTACATTTTCCAATGCTGATTAGAATACGATCTTGACTTGGGAATTTGTATGCCATCTTGGGAGACTAAAGACTTATGTGTATCAATAAAAGTATTGCTGTTTTGAAACAACCTCTTGAAATTTTCCTCTATTACTTTTGTTGTTTACAGACTATGGCATTATTTTTTACTCCCTTCTGAGAGATCTCAAAATAATACAAAAATCAGCCATAGAACTATTCATAAAGACAATAATAATTAAATCAAAACTAATTTAATATAGAAACAAGTCATTTATCATCAGTAAAATTGTCTTTAGTCTAGTGCTTCTATTTAGAAAGCATAGATAAGCCTTCTTTATTTAGACAAGTATTTGTATAGGCTTAACAAGACTTTATTTTAATCACACATATAAATTATAGTTATAATTTCTGTGTAAGTCAGAGTTGAACCAATATGTGACATTTAAAAATCATCAAATGTAACTGTTAAAAACTATTTACAGAATCTGTTACGTATTCTAGAGAATGTTTAGATTGAAAACCTACATTCTGGAAAGAAAAAAAATCAATGATATGAATGATGAATCACATTTCAAAAAATTAAACATTGTCAGAAGTATTCATGGCTGTCTCATATGTTTACATAGCAGCTATTCACCCTGATAATTTAATTATAATTTTGTTGTTGGAGTGATTTATATTGTTCATATCCTTTTATAATAAAATTTAAAAAGTTTTGTTTACTTGACTTGACTTTATTGTCAATGCATACAACAAAATTAAATTAAAAGGTATACTTAGACATTTAAATGTAAGTTAAAGGTGATACTGTGGTAGAAGCTAGTTTAATTTTAGTTAAATTTTCATGTTCACCTATTACCCCAAAATCATAAAATCAGAGAGACTTTAAGCAACTGTCCTTAAAGTTGTTCGACCCCCTCTTCCATCCCAGACTAATATTTAAAACATTAAAAAACGGTTTTTTAGAAAAAAGAATGTAAAATCTTTGCTGAGTTGGAGAGAATACATAATGTGTCTCCCACTGGAATTACCGAACAGTAGTATGAACTTAGAAAGAACTGTAAACAGTTAATTACTATAGACGTTCTCGAACAGCTTGCTCTGAAACATTCAGTTCCCTTTTCAAACCAGTTCATGATTCAATTCCCTTTATAAACCAAAATCAGTCTGCAACTGACCCATTTAGCATGATTTTTATACAACAAAGTTTATTTTCTAGGCATGCTGATTAGAATCTGCAGTTTCCGTAGTAAAATAATTTGATTCTCAATTTACTTCTGCAGATTGAGAGTTTGGAGAGGAAATTATTTTGAAGTGAATAAAATTATGTTATAAGATGTCTGAAACTTTATTAGTGTTCTAAAATTAATTTGCTAACAAACTTCATCTCTATCTTAATTTATATAAGAGCTTAATTTATATAATTTATATTTTATAAATAAGCCAATCTATATTCTGTCAACTTTTTTGTCATCTGATTAGTTACTATCAAAAGAACTGAAAACAAGTTTTGTTCAATACTTCTCAGATAGCTTTCTAAAGGTGTATGGTTATTGCAATAGAATCTAATGTTTAGACATTTATACAAATAAAAATGTTTAAAGGTTTGACTAAACATTTTCCTCATTTTTGTCACATTTAATACTTAGTGGGTCCCCATACTTTATTTGTCCAGACGTTTGTATGGAGTCTATAAAGCTATTTAAACTGCTTTGGTTAAATATATTTCAGAAATCCCTCAGGGAATGGTTCTCAACCTGTGGTCCGCTAACCCCTGGGGGCTACAATGTCATCACAGGGAGCCATGAAGACTTGAAGAAATGTTATGATTTAAATATTAAGTCTTGGTGTCAAAACATATTTAAAGTGGATCTGTGGTGAAGAAAAGGTTGAGAACCACTGCCCTAGGGAGTTGGGTGCTTTAGACCGTGACAAAAACTATGATTTTTAAAAAAATAATAAATATAAAATATGTTTTTTTGATAGGAATAGATAGGTTAGCAATTCATTGATTGTCTGTAGCTGTATTGTTCATATTGGAGGTACCCTTCATTTTTACTCATATAAATTTGGTACTTATATAAGGTAAAGTTTAAATTTCCAAAGTTGCTATCATAGCAGAGAAATAGATAATTTATTACTGGATCCAATGCATTTCACTAACATTTCTTTTATTTCAGGTATTTGCTGATGGATGTGAAGACTCTGTGTTTCTTGAATTACAAAAATACTTGCCAAAATATTATGGAACCTGGTCATTGCCTACTGCACCAAATGGTACTATTGCTATATTCGGTGTGCTAGGCATGAATTTGATGGGAATTTCTCTGGAGGGTTTTCTAAGAATATCATACATTAAATTCTATCATACAGAACTTCATGAAAAGAGTATTTTAGAGCTGATGTACTTAAGTCCATTTCTGGTCACCATGGGTCAAAAAAGATGTCAAAGCCCTAGAAAGAGTGCAGAGAAGAAGAACAAAGTTGATAAGGGGTCTGGACCCTAAATCATATGATGAACGGCTAAAGGAACTAGTTACGTTTAGCTAATGAAGAGAGAAGGCTCAGGGGAGCCATGATAGCAGTCTTTCAATACTTGAAGGACTGCCATAAGGAAGAGGGTGTTGATTTATTCTCCATAGCACCTGAAGGCAGGACAAGAGGAAAAGGGGGAAGCTTGTCAGAGGGAGATGCACCCTGGAAATAAAGAGTAATTTCCTGGCAGTGAGAAAATTTATCAATGGAACAGCTTGCCTCCCTGAGTTGTGGATTCTCCATTACTGAAGAATTTCAAGAAAAGATTGGACAACCATTTGACTGGAATGGTATAAGGACTCTGCCCCCTTAAGCAGCTGGTTAGATTAGAAGGCCTCCAAGGACCATGTGATTCTGTGAGGGAAAGATCGTGTAAATAAATCCCAGGCTCATGAATCATAAGTGTTCTCGATTTCTCACCATGATTGTAAAACCAGAAGCCCTGTCCACCTTGCTCAGAAGAGAATTTCTGTTAGAAAATAATTTATATTGTTTCTCTAAATATTTTAATCATTTTTAAATATATCTGCAGTGCTATTAGATGTGATTAATGTTAAGCAAGATTTGAAATTAGTTGGAAATCTTGGTTAAGAGGAACTATGGCTAGAGATAACTATGGCGAAAATCAGTAGAGAAAAGGAGTATGATTGACAGTTAATATTAACAGTTTTCATTCATGAACTGAAGAAATAATGGGCTTTTGGCCTCCCTTTCCAAGATATTGAATTATAACCTGGTATGATAGATGTTTGTATATCAAATTTTTTTAGATACTGACAAAGCTGAAGTATCCTTAATTGTTTACAGATTTGTACCTGAAACTGGAAGACGTGACACACAGGTTTAAGAAACCATGTATCATGGACGTAAAAATAGGCCAGAAAAGCTATGATCCATATGCTTCAGAAGAGAAGATAAAGCAACAAATCGGCAAATATCCACTAATGGAAGAGATTGGGTTTTTGGTGCTTGGCATGAGGGTAAGCTGTCTCCTGGATATTGATTAAAGGGTGCTCTTGAAGAGATGTGTGCAACATAAGCTCGCTCCAGATTATTTTCTTTTTTCTTGTGAAGAGAATGAAGGATCGGTTTGGAGTTCATATATTTTTCTTACATACATAACGGCTTGTATACAGCAGGAAACATTTCCTGTTTTCATCATTACACATTATCCTCAAGTTAGGACCAAAAGTTTAACAACTGAAGTTATGACAGCCTTGTAAAGAATGTTTTACGGCCTGTAAAGATTTCTGGCTATCGTAAAACATCACATTGCCCTTTCTAGTCACGTGATTGTGATCTCGCTCTTGACAACCTGATTGTTGCACTCATGAGCAGTTACCAAGCATCCTACAATCCTGTTATTGCCGTTTACAATTTTCTCTGCTGGCTTCCCCAGAAAGTTAATGGGAAAGGCGGCAGAGGAAGTTGCAAGCTGCTGCCACCTGTGGTGGAACTGAAATTTGTCCCCGCCCCCCGCGTGCAGGCAGGTGTATTCCTCCTTCCTGCCAGAGGAGTTAATCTCCCCTCTGTATGTGGTAGAGAACTGCTTCGGCAACTGCAGGAATAGAGCTGGGATCTTTGAAGCCTGAGATTGATTTCTGCAACCCATGAAGGAGTTTCCCATTGCTCACGGAAAGCAGAAAACTTCTCTGAAGGACTGCAGGGACGGAGCGCTGATCCCACAGATCCCAACTCCATTTCTGCAACCAACCAGAGTAGTTCCCTTCCATGGTCCATTCCACTGGCAGGATGGAGAAACAAAGCTCCAAACCCAAAGATTCTAGCTCCGTTCTGCAGCCATTTATACTGTAGGTTCTTTGTGGTTCCCTTTTAATTATTTGAGTGGAATGCTGTATAAATACTACTGTGTGAGCCAGAGAATAAACTAGATTGTTTGTTTCTCCACTGTGGAAGAATATGTTTGTCCCTGCTGAAGTCTAGCATAGACTTTACATGATTAAAATCTGTAGGTTCCCTTACATTATAGACACAGGACATACTTTGTGAGAGATTTATATTTGTTATCATTTCATGTACCTCCAAGGTGTTTATACCGACAACAATATTGTTAGTTAAAAGGCTTTGGCAAGTTACTTACAGCTTTATTGTAGAAATATGTTTTGGAATTTTTAAAAATTATTACATCAAATCTATGGCTGGACAAGAAAAAATGAATTCTCCATATCCTCCTTTAAAAAAAAAAAAACCCTTGACTTTCAACATTGAAATGATAAATTTGTGACTCCACTTAGCAAAAACGGAGTGTTACTTTATGTATTTAGTTCTTACACATCGGCTTATACAAGTAAAACTTGTTTAGATACCACAATTGTGACCAGCAACTCAGTCATTAAGTAAAGTGATCGCTAACTAAAACCACAAATATGCTTGTGACCCTATAGTACTTCAATTTTCCTTTGCTTTACAGATTTAAATGTGAAGACTGGATGTAAGCTTTTTCATCACTGTTGTAACTGTGAATGGTCATTAAACAAGGAGTATTTGTATATGACACTTATAAAGTTTATATATATATATAGTTATAGTTATAGAGAAACCTTTTATAGAAACTATTGAATACAGTTTTATATGCATGTACAGATACACAACAAGTCCTTAAATATATAATCTTGTAATGGTCGTGCTATTTATTTAAATGTATTTTGCTGTTTAGTTAATTACAAAAATGCATTTTATAAAAGCACAGTTTAAGCAGAAAATTTCTAGATTTTGTTTCTAGATATTTTCTAGATTTTTTTTTAAAAAAATACTATTGTATATGTTATATACATTTCTATTCATATTGTCCTCTGAAACAAATTTTGTTTTGTTATAATTTTTAGTTAATTTAGATTCCCAATAAAACATAAAGCTATCAATGTTCATAGGGCAACTGATTTGAAGGAATATATCTGACAATTCTTCAATATTGTACACAAAATATTTCATTTGCATTCATTTGTTTCTTTCTTAGATTCTTCTGTAAATAAAGTATTAGATATTTTTTCAAAAAATACCCTAATTCATGTGTTTTACAAAGATCTAACTAGATCTAACTAGGTCTAACTCGTCTAATTCTTTCAGACTTCTGTGGTCTGAAGCAAAATGTTTTAATGTAAATGTAACATTTCACTAGAATTAAAATGGAAAAAAGAGCTCAAGAAATGACTCAGACTTTTCTCCTTTCTTTTTTAAAGGTTTATCATGCACCTACTGGCAGCTATGAGACACAGAACCAGCACTACGGAAGAGGATTAACAAAGGAAACTATAAAAGATGGTAATTTTTGTATAAAAGCTCTGTATTACATATATAGTCTTTTAAAAAGGAACAGCCGGGTTAGAATTTGTGTTATGGGCTCTGAACCATGTGTGCTTGGTAATTAAGAAAGTAGTCATCAATAGAAAAAAACATGGAGTTTAACAGAATGCCAAATGAGACAAAGAAGTAGCGTTTTTTTTAAAGTTGGTGCTATTGTAAAATAGATAGTATTCTTTATTGGCCAAGTGTGATTGGACACATAAGGAATTTGTCTTGGAGACTTGAAGATATATTTGGAGACATTTTCCAGTAGTATTTATAGAAGGGATAAATCAGTTTTATGCACAAATCTCTTACTACGAACGAGTGAAAGGACTGAGCATTAATACTGTGCTTTATATTGAGAAAAGTGTGGTATAACACTAAAGGTGCTGGGGTAGGATTGGAGAGGCCTATGCTCTAGTCACCCATTAGGCATAGAAGTTATAGTTTGGGTGACTTTGACCCAATCACTTATTCTTAGGACAAGAGTTGCAAAACATCTATATACCAAATCGGTATTGGATTAGCATGAGGCTACAGAACCTTCAGTGAACTGGGGGCGGGGATGCCGTTCCAGAAGGCAGATGCTGTAGCAGAGAAAGCATGCTTCTTGGATCCCACTAGATGACCTTGCTTGATAGAAGGTGGCCAGAATGCCTCCATTCTGCCTGATCTCGCCAATCTTTTAGCTATATTTTGTAAAAAAATATATGGACCGCCAGTATATAATGAATCTTGCAGATTGCCCGTCATTTATTGTTGTTCTAGTTGATGGCAGTGAGATAAAAGTTTTTGAAATCTTTAAAATCAGCTGCTCTCTTGCAGTGCTGTAACCTGAAATAATTAGAGCTTGCCTTGTAATAGATAGAGATTCTGTTTAAACAAAGAACACTCAGAACAAATTACTATGTCATATGTTTATTGAACTCATTGAACCGATGTTCGCTAAATAAAAATGTGAAGTCCTTTAAGATTATGAACTTTTAAACAAAAGTTGAATCAAGTATTCCAATCGATAGATGATAATTAGAAGTGAATTTGAAGGCTTTCTTGCTCCAACACTGGGTTATGAAAGCAAACCATAACCTACGGTAATTGAAAGAGATCTCTGCCAAACTCAGGAAAGGGGTTGTTGATAATTAGCAGACTGGAAAGAGCGACCACTCACTGCACAAAATTTGGCTACCCTCAATTTCTAGTCAGATCGACAGTATATCAATTGAGAAGTATAATACCATTTTTACTCTGCCAGGAAATGGTTGTCCAACAAAAATCATCCCAAGAACGAGGTCTACAATAATTTGCATTATAAGGAAGACACACAAAATGGGTAGTATGCATGAGAAGATCTGATGATAGAACCGTCTCTTCTCCAGAAAACATTGCTGTTCATTTCAGGTTTTCTGAAGACCCCCTGAATGCCCTCAGAAGCTGCACTATAGGCAGATAAAATGTAGGGAAATTTATATTTGGAGAAAAAACTTTGAATTCCAATAAATAATTTCATCCTTTAGACAGTCACTCATACTCTAGTTATCTGAATAATTGTGCAATGAACCTTATGTAGGACTGTTTTCAAGTGGCTTTTAGACTACTTGGAAGCTTCAGCTGACCCAGAACACAGCAGTGCAGGCAATGTGCGGCATACCTTGGTATTCTTATGTGACACCTCTGTGAGCTGCACTGGTTTCCTCTCTGCTTCCGGATATGATTCAAGGTTCTGTTTACTTCCTATAAAGCCCTACATGACAGGGCTAGCTTACCTGAGGGACTGCCTATCTCCCGTGGTTTCTACCTATCTTCTACATGTCAAGAGGTGGATCTTTTCAATAATCAGTGTCATCTATTGGGGCTCCAGAAAGGTATCTTCTCTATCGCAACATTTATCCTTTGGATTGAATTTTCCCTGAAATTTGCATGGCTTCCACCATACTGATGTTTATGCCAATAAATTAAAGTTGTCCCGTAAGGAGGAATGAGGACCAAATATCTTTAAACCATTGTGGGAGGTTGATGAATACATACAAGAAACATTTTGCAATCATTACTGCTAAAGGAACAGCCATAAATTGCTCAGTCTAAAGCTTCGCACACATTTTTCAAGCAATGAGAGTGAACATTGGTTCAATCTATTCAGAAGGAATATATAATAATATTTACCCCAAATTTTGTTTATTTACTAAAATTAAAACTCAGATCACCTTCCAGGACACAAAGCTACAAAGTTGTAGGTAAGTCTAAGGAGTTCAGTAATTCCTTTGACCATTGTATAAAATTGAGTTGTAGAACCAGAAGTATATATAGTACCACGTACTTGGTAATTGTATGAACTTCTCATTATTTCAAGCCTGTCATTTATTATTTCACCATAGATTTCTGCAACTAAGTTTGAACATTAAACATGCAAATTTAGGGCAATAATCAGTGGTGTGATTCAGCCCGTTTGCACTGGTTCATGCAGACAGGTTGATAAATTACTCATCCATTGTTATCAAAGTGGATCCTTTGCGCTTTAATGGAGAAATGGGCAACGGAGAGGCTGGTGCGAGGGAAGGAGAAGGCTGTTTTCCCTCTTCTCCTTGCTCCTCCTTCCCTCTCTCCATTGCCCGTTCCCCCATTGCAGCACAGCATCCAGAATCCACTTTGATAGCTGGTGGGATGTGTGTAATTTAATAACCAGTTCGCCCAGGATCAGGTTGGCTGCCGTGGGAGTCTTATCCCACATGTGCAGCGGAGATAGAGGATGGGGATGGGCCACGCCTCCCATGACAGCCAACCTGACCCTGGGTGAACCGGTTGTTAAATTATTTGAATCCCATCACTGGCAGTAATCCATATTGCTGAACTTTATAGTGCCAGTTTAATCCTGAATTCTGTTAGATTAAGATATTTGTCCGCTAATTTGTTTGTTTGTCTTGTAGGTGTGGCTCGATTTTTCTATAATGGATTCACCCTGAGAAAAGATGCAATAGCAGTTAGTATTGAAAAGATTAAAGAAATCTTGCACTGGTTTGAAAACCAGAAGCAGCTTAACTTTTATGCAAGTTCTTTACTATTTGTCTACGATGGTTGGTCTCCTTGGTTAAATGATGGCTGTCTGGTTGAGAAGAACAAAGTAGCCGAGGACCAAGTGCCAAGTGATAGTATAGATAACACGTTGGAATGCAACAACAATATTCATATCATCAATGCCTCAGAAATGGGGGAGGTAGAGACTTCAGATGGCAAAGATTTTTCTAAAACGTATACTTTTCACAACAGGCACCAGAATCAGTTTTTGTTAAGGGACCATCTATGGAAGCGCAGTTCTTGCTTTTCACAAAAACATTTGAACGGAAATGTTATACCTCAGCTGGAAAAAGTTTTCAGCCAAATGCCCACGTCTCTTCCAGGAAATGGAGAAGTTGAAGTCCGGATGATAGATTTTGCTCATGTATTCCCTAGCGATGTGCGAGATGAGGGCTACATCTATGGGCTGAAAAACTTAATTACTGTCCTTCAGAATATTTTAGATACTTAAATTTTTGCAGTGATTTTTACTGAGGGCCAAATATAATGAAAAGCAACAACATTTCTGCACTTGTGATCCTTGGTTTATATTATTCTACATTTTCTTGTCTTTATACTTTTGGTAGAATTACCAGGTATTTTATAATGTTACTCAGGAAAATTATTCTGTAATTAGTAAAAGAAAAAGCTAATGAGACTTAGCTGGTAGTAATAGGAATTACATTTAACAGACAAAGCCTATCTGATATTGGATATATCTTGCGTTGGTTGAAATGACTGAGTTGTTTTACATTCTTACATATTTTAATTGAAAACCCGTCATGCAGCCATAATGTTGAGCCATATCTCTCATGGAATACTAGAAAATCATTAGAGAATACTAAAATCAGAATTTAATAGACCATTTAGGATGAGGGGGTACCCATTAAATCTAAATTTATATCACTTTTGTAAATTTACATTGTTTGCATAATTACATATTTGACAAATGACATTAGTAGTAAAATAATTTAACAGAAAAATCTTTCATTTGACCAAAAAAACCCAAAACCCTGCATGGGAGTCTGAACAGAAAGTTAAACCATTATTTCAAAAGTCCATCAAACTGAGGTCCATTAAACTAAGAGTTTACTGTATTATTCTTGAGTATTTGATATATTTTTAAAACTGGAGCTTATAATATTTTTAAGGAATACATATTTAAAATCTATTCTAGTTTAACATATTTTTTAAATGAGAGATAATCATGTTCTGCATTATTAAACTTAGGTAAAGGTGTTAATCTTTTCATGGCCGAATATTCTTATAAATGTAACACTTCCCCTTTAAATTTATGAAAAAGAAATGAGCCATATAAAGAAAAGCTTGCATTTTGGAGGTTCTATTAGAAAATGAATAATCAAAAGTAGTTTTAGTTATTGGAAAGGGGGTGCAAAATTTAGTCTAATGTCCGAAGCTACTTTTTAAATAAATTGGTACTCATTGTGCAGGTTTGGATTTGCAAATGGAATGATTGGATTTGCTTTGCAGAAGAAAGATGAATATTGTAAAAAGCTTTTTTTGGAGGAAAGGATAACAAAATAGTGATTTTCATTTAACTCTTTTCCCTATTTCATTCCTAAACAATATGGGAAGTGATGCTGGGGATTGTAGAGAAAAGGAGGAATTCATAAAAACTGTCCTTACATTTATTTCCTTCAGTTCAATAGAACTTTGTGCTGATATGAATTCAATTTTAAACTGGTGCATGGTAGATGGTAAATAGCAGTAGTTTAAATTTTACATTTATATTTTATATTCCAAATGTGTTATATAAATCTTTATTAAGTAGTTTTGTTATAGGTTATAAAGGAAGCCTTAATAATACCAGATATTCAAAGTTAATATTAATTTAAGAGTGATCACAAGAATTTGGTCTTCTGACAGTAATTTAAGCCATATTGTTGAAAAACAATTGCTATGCGAAATTGTCCCAATCAGTTTCCTTGATCATTGGTAGCTTATTCTGTTGTAGTTTCTCATTAACGGTTATCAGTTAATTTGGCTACATATGTATACCTGGTGCAAACTGGGAATGTTTCCTTGTAGGCCAGTAAGAATACATAATTTTACATCTTTCAGGCAATGACTTCTGTGTTTCATAGTATTTGTAGTGCAATTATTCTTTTGCTAATAGTTTAAGGTTCTGGAATAGTGAGCACTCAACATCTAATTTTCAAGTTTTGTAATTGAGTCTTTACAATATATTTAATGTCAATATGTTTTCTTTTGGAAAGTAAACTGTAAATTGGAAGCTAGGGAGAGTTGGTTACAGTTACCCAAGTAACCTCTCATTTTTTATCTAATGAAAAACATATTCCAGTTATTTTTATTGTCTGCCAGTGTTTAAACAATGTTGTGAAATAAACATTTTGCAATTTTCATATGTGAACAAATCAAAAACCTTATCTAGAATAGTTTGGTTTCCTAGACCTTACTGGTTTAATTCCATCACTTGCATTTGCTGTTTTTAAGAAACCTTGTAGTGTGATGTTCCTGGAATATATAAATGTAAAACTAATCTTTATATTTCATTTTCTGTCCTAATCCTCCATTTTATTCCATATTTACAACTCTGTCTATAGAGGATACAGATGGAATCCTTTGTAGTCACATTAAGGTGGAGTTCTCAGTTTTCTCCATTTAACTGCTTGCTTCTAATTGAAGTTAATTTGACAGCCTGCATGTCAAGAGTCTGTAAAATAACAATTATTTTGAGCTTCAGATTTAAGTCTGTAGATAGAGCAATGAGTATTTTAGTATCTGATCTAAACTATGTTCAAATTAAATTACATTTTTTGGAAGGAAGATTTCTAACCTCCTTAGGAATAGATATAAATAACAACTAATGATAAACTACTTTGTAGCTCTCCAAACCCCTGACTTTGACAAGTTTGTCCTTACCACTAAGGCAGAATCTTAAATATTGCTTCGAATGAGATTATGAAGATGCTTCCTTACAATATATGAAAAATTATGTACAAACTAATATAAGAATTTTAATTGTATTTTTTTTTTATAGCCAAACAGTTTCATCCTTGGTATTTTGGATATTTTGCTTCTTGTTGCATAGATCTATTTAAAACTATGGTGTTATGAAATGTTAAAACTATTTTATCTAACTAATTTTACAGAATTATGCAGTTGTGTATAATCATGTTTCACATGAAAGGCATATATTGAGATGGGAATTATTTTTGTTGTACCGGAAAACCGAGCTTTCTGCTTATGTTACCATCCCATAATAGATGGATTACATTTTAGGAAGGGACTATTTTCTGTTAATGTGCACCTAATACAAAACTTGGTAGATTATAGCCTTGACTCCATGCATATCTGAAAGTAAGTCCTCTGAAATATGCAGTAGTCATTATAATATTTAAGCCCCTGTCTGAAATAGTAGAATTAAAGTTTATATAAAAATATGTGATCTTTATCAGAGTGGAAAGTACTGCCCAAGTTTTGAGAGAGAGAAAAAGACATCAGATACTAGTTTAGAAAGCGAAAAGGGCACAACCACTAAGTCTTTCATGTAAACCATTTTCGAGTGGTTTATATTACCCTTTTAAAGGACTGCCGCTAGTATAAATAGTCATTCCTTTTTATCCAAATTATTTTTAAATTAACATTATTTGCAATAATATCCCCTACTGAGTGCCTTCTGCTTCATGTTTGGTACCATTTAAATGACATTATACAACATCCAGGGTGACAGAATGGAATGCTTTAATTAAAAGCTTGAATATCGTAATACCCCAACAATAGTTAGGGAACACTTATAATATTTTATATTTATCCTAAAACCATTACTGCTGGTAAAAATTCTGTTTCTTTGATTATGAATTGTGTTTACAAACCCACAAATTAACCACATATTCAGGAACTAAAACTCTTCATCCTGCCAGTTGTAGGGCTCAGGGGAGGTTGCATGGGACTCTGTTTACAGTACCATCAGAGGCAGTGACATCTGTAGCCATAGCAATTTGGGAGTAGCACATCTGACAGAAGGGAAACTTGGATGTGGAACTGACATATTTCCCCATCCTTAGTTGGATCTCTCTCATACCTGCCGAGGATACTTCAAAACCAGAAACTTAATACACAATCATATGGAACCCCACAGCTGGTTGATGCTCAATTAGATTGAGTTGATTTAGAATTTTTGGTGAGAGGGATTTCCATCCTTGTGACTATGAATAGGCCTTTAGATTTATGAACCTAGCTGATGAATATGAACCTCCACATCATGCCTGGTGAACAGTTTGAACGTAAACAAGTTTGTAGATTAAGCAGGATTGTTTTATAATTCACACTGAATTGAATACATTTTTCTCTCTCCTTGAAGTGTAATTCTTACAAATCATCTCCCTCGAGAAGCTTTATATCATTTTTTTTTCTTGTTTCTGTACTAACATTTTTTACTGGCAAATCATTGCATTCAGTTGTAGAATGATGGGCCATTCAACTGTGAAATATTACTCCATTAACATATCTACAAGCTACATACTGCACACTTATAATTGTGACTTATGATTCACTGAAAAGTTTATGCACATTTAAAACTTCCATACTATGAATAGTCATATTAATCCTGCCTTTTTTTTTAATATAAATTAATTTATTTGTCCTTACTTTTGTAGGAATGGCTTCTTTGTATTTAAAATTGTTCATTATGTTAAATCTTGATATATAAGTTAGCAACAGGAAAGAGAAAGCAACAGTGATATTGGGAACAAATATATTTTTTACACATTGTTAAAGTGGTATGCTTTTGAAACATAATATGTATTGGCACTGGATAGAAAATCCTGGCTGAACTGACATTGAATTAAAACATCCAAATATGATGATATTGCACATCTTACCATGAATGATATAAGTAACATAAGCACTTTAATATTGTGGGAACTGTACTGGAAAATACATGGAAACACATGAAATTGCACCTATAGCTACTGTATATTAATTTTCAGTTTGTGATGGGTGGGTGAAAGGGAGAACTTTACTACTTTAAGTGTATTGTATCTGAATGAATGTATTTAGTCTGATCTCATTTATTTCTTATTCAAGAAGCTTGGATTGTGTTGTGTGTTATTCTTTAATGGGGTGTTTGTATTATAAATAATAATTTAGGTGGGGGATATTACAGAATTACAGAGATATGTTGGTTACTTTATAGTTTAAAAAAGCCCTATTATGCTATATAAAGCAATCATTTTGTAATTTATGCGATATTTAGGTAATTCTAACAGCTGTATATTTGGCTGACTATTAAAATTTCTTTAATTTAACTTGACATCTTCTTTGTTTTATATGATACTTTTAAAATGAGAAAGCATCTTCTTACCCTTTCAAGATACAAAAAATAGAAATACTATCAAGCCTTTCATGACTTCCTTATCAAATATCAGTATCCTTGATGATAGAATAAATGAGGTCAGATGGAATTCCTGAGAATTTAGATGAAAGTTGAAGAGGGTGTAAAGAACATATAGCAAAAGGATAGATGGTGAAAGGGGAGGATGAGCAAAGGTAAGGTGGCTTCTTCTTGTGGAGCTCAATTCTGTTGTGTCAGGACCCACAACTATTGGAAACTCAAATGTCTGACACAATTTGTTTTTATTGCAGGAAACAGGGACATTGGACATCCAATTGCTCAGAGGAAAAAAATACAGTATTCAGTTCAGCTCGTTATACATTTAGACCCTCAAAATCTAAGATGTCAAATTCCCAAAACATTAATATGTCAACTTAGCCTTTTGAATCTGAAAGGCTACAGGAAAACACTACTTTTTATTAGGAAAGAGGGGGGTCCAATTCTACTAGCAAGGAAGACACTTTTATATCTACTGATTAGTGTGGTCCCTTTGTATGTGCATTAATACCCACCAGAAAACTTTTAAAAAAATTCTCTGTTTTGTAAGTCTCTTCCTTTCCTGATCTTTCAACCTTGGAGAGATCAATACAAGGGGTGGCAGGTTTCTTAATCTCCTTTCTATATCTGTTATATTAGGATAACTAATGAACATGCTTTCTTACTATTTTCTGATTACTTACTGAATTTATTAGGAAAGGATCTATTGCGTAAATTGGATGCTAACATTTTGCAATTAAGGATGGCATAGGAGATCAACCAAGAAGCCAACTAGAATATCTCTGATCTAGACCCCCTTTGTGGGCAACCACTTCTCATGATGTAGTGACTCCAGTGAAAATAGACATCGCTTCTTCAGGAAAAACAAAACAAAACAATCCTTAACGTTTGCAACATAAAACTTCTCTCCTGAGGCAGAAAAGAGAGTAGCACGAACTAAATTTTAGTTCTTACAACATCACCTGTAAGTACTCCTACCATCTCCATTCCAAAACCTGGAAGGATGGATGAACAGGGAAGATCTCCAACGTATTTTGTTTAAGCGCCCTAAAGTCCCACGTGATTCCTCTTCATCCCGTTTCCCCCCATCTTAATGCAGAAATTATCTCTCCTGCCAATGTCACTTTACTTTTATAGATTTTTTGCTCTGCCTTTTTCAGCGAATCTTTATATCCAGGTTCTTGATATTTATTGTTTTTAGCTCTCGGGGAAGCTACATACCTGGACCTGCTCACCTGAGGGATTTGGGGACTCCACAATATTATGTGGAATGTCATTTTGAGGAACCGCACCTGACCTAACTTTTCCTGAAGGAGCGGGGGAAAAAATACAACATCCTGGTGAGGGATCCTTCTGAAGTTCTGTGATCATTGGTTTTGCTTTTCCGTCTGAAATCTAAGGGCATAAAGTATGCAGAGGAAAATCCAAGAGGTTTCTTATTTTGGACACCTAATTTCAGCCAAGGAACATAAGTTGAAACCCATCCCGCAGTCCTCTGTACTGGGAGGTTTCCTAGGAACCCTGATTACTTTTGACAAGCCCCTGTGGTGCAGTGGTTAAAGTGCAGCATTGCAGGGTGGACAGACAGACAAAGATAGAATCCTTTATTGGCCACGTGTGATTGGATGTACAAGGAATTTGTCTCCGGCACAGAAGCTCACAGTGTACATATAAACAGCAAGTAATAGGTTCATAGGTCATAAATCATAGTTACAATCATTAATCATAAGCTACAAACAGCAATTGATAAATCATAAGAACCCAATAAGAGAAGACAGTAGGAAAGATGAGTAAAGATGAGAGGCAGTGCTGTGGGAATTAAGTATTCAGCAAAGTGATGGCATGGGGGAAAAAACTCTAGTTGCTTTGGCATGCAATGCCTTGTAACGCCATCCTGAAGGGAGGAGTTGAAATAGATTATGTCCAGGATGGGGTGGAGGCAGGGCTCTTTAGATATTTTCTCAGTCCTCTTTCTGGTTTGTGCAGTATCTAGATCAGGGGTGTCCAACCTTGGCAACTTTAAGACTTGTGGACTTCAACTCCCAGAATTCTGGGAGTTGAAGTCCACAAGTCTTAAAGTTGCC